TCTTACGATGGTGCAGATCACTTGCCCTGAATTTTTCCAGGTAACATTGCTCAATCGGTGTTTTCCATCTGGCTAGAAGAGCAATGGCAAACGTCTGACAACGGCACTCATGGTGTCATTTACTATGGTGGTGAGTTAATTACTATTATTTTCTTTTAATTACTTTTATATGCATTGATTATATGAAATCTTATGGATTAAAACCCTCAAAATAGTTTTGTAGGGGAGAGGCGCGCTGCAACTCACGCTTCGCTTCAATCATTCGGCAGTTTCCCTGAACCTCTTGCCATTATCTTCTGAGAACATGCTCTAGAAAGGATAAAGTTCCATCTAGAATTGATGTGCGCTACAAAGACAGAAAAATCCTGCGAAGAAATCGATAGGTGGGCGGGGTCTCACCCCCTCCATTCATAACACCGTCCAGGGACTGTTTGAGGATTTGAAAAAAATTGCCTCAGAAGATTCACATGTGAAGAGAGTGAATAGTGCTCGAGGTGTCCTGGGCCCGCCCATTTTGGGTGGAGCGCGCCTTTCAACGCAAGTGGCACGTTAACCGACGAGGCAGGGTCGGTAGTTAAAAAATATCGTATCCAGTAGCAGGCGCTACGTGGCGCCTTTTCGAACCAAGAGCGCCTTTATAGCGCCTAACCAAGGTGCAACATGCCGACCCAGACGCCCACCGCAACCGCCCGCCCACAAATGGCTGTACAGTCACGTATACTCCGATACTCTTATCGCTTCATTTATGAAGTACAATCAATATGAGGAGTTGTTGCATGGATATATGAATAGAAACGTGCCGCCGTATCAACCCAAGTGCTTTGGCACGGTGCCAACGGCTCAGAGGTGTTCGTTCAATGTAGAACACCTCTGAGCCGCGGGCCTTGACCGTTTTAATTCGCTGTTACGTCATTTTTCCACGCACCCCTGCTACTAATTTTGAGCCAAATTATCGTGCCTTCAAGTGAGAAGCACTCATTTCGAAAATTCGTGATTTGTTGCAGAGCAGTTGTTCATGAAATATCGTGCATTTTATCGTGTTCGATCTCAGGTTACGATCTCGTCCATTGTCATGCTAATCGCAGTTTTGCGACGCTGTCGTCAGCTAGCTACTTCCAATTCACTATGGCAAATGTATATGTAGATGGCTTTGGAGTAGCCAAGAGAATGCAGGTTAGTAATTTCCTCACCTTAAAAACGATTTGTCCTCGTACGGAAAAATCGTGAGGGCAGCGTCAAGACTATCGTAATGTGCCAATGTTTGTAGCGAGCGACGCCGCGCACGCGATGGACGAGTTGCATTGACCGGCGTTTTGAGTTTGAATGTGAAAGGAGGAGAAGGATCTATATCATTGAGAAGTGATTTCTCCTCAGTTTAATATCCCAGGAGTCTGGTTGCTTCAATCAATAAATTGACGCAGCTTGAGAACTGGCCGCGCACGACGCGCCGCGCGCGACGGTGCCGCGATCACGATTGTGTTGTCTATTTCCCAGGCATAAAGGGGTATGCTGTGCGTGGGTATGCATGCTAGTACAGCTCTAAATTACATGTAAATTAATAACAACTTCCTTTTTCAGACAATCATCACCTCTACATCTCCTTACATCAAACTGCCGTCCTCAGCATTCATGTCGGTCCTGACCGCATTGGGCTTGAATAATAATGTCCCGCTCCCGGCAAAGGTAATAGCAATTCTGCTTCCAAAGGCGCAGTACACACTGATTGAATGGGCAGAGTGGGTCCTGCTGTTGTGCCTTCTCATTGGTGCTTTTTCCTTTGCTAGGACTGTAGAGAGAAGGGTTGCGCCAATAAGTCGGGCACAATGGTAGCTCTGACTTCTTCACATAATCAGTGTGAGCTCCAAGAAACTCTTAGGACACTTTTATCCAATGAGTTGATGGAATAGTGCCAGTTCCAAGTTGTTCCAGGTAGACTGCAGCAAGAAACTGCAACTCGGGTTCGATATCGGTGACGGTGTGGCGCTGATGGTGACCGAGCGGAACCTGATCTTGACGAACAACGACGGTACCTGCACATTAGCAGTGCTGCCAACAAATTCCGATAGTTTCGACCAGGGAAAGCACATCGAACTGGGTATTCCGTTCCTACGTGGACGCTGCACTTACTTCGATACGGGCCTTCAACGAATCGGAGTCGCTGACGCTATACAGCATTGAGTGGGATGAACAGTACGAACAGTCATGATCCCTGCAAACGATAGGGCGTGTGACGGGGCGTGGCTTGAAAATGCAGGCGGGGCAGATTCCCACCAACTGTAGGCGGCTCAGGATAACAACATTGGTGAAAAATGCCGCTCTCGCTGCGTTCCAATCCACGCCTCTTCGCTTGCCCTATCATTTTCAGAGATCATGACTATAGAAAACAGCTCGAGGGGCTT